GAAACACTTATAGAAATGTCCTTAGTCATCAGGAAAATGCAAATCAAAACTGCTTTGAAATTCCATCTTACATCTGTCAGAATGCCTAAGATCAATACAACAAATGACAGCTCATGCTAGTCAGGATGTGGAGAAAGTGGAACACTCATCCATTGCTTGTGGGAATGCAAACTTGTCCAGCCACTGTGGGAGTCAGTGTGGTGGTTCCCCAGGAAGCTGGGGATAGATCTTCCTCCAGATCCAGCTATACCACTCTTGGGCATATACCCAAAGGACTCCACATCCTACTACAGAGACACTTGCTCATTCATATTCATTGCTGTTCTACTCATAATAGCTGGAGATTAGAAACAGTCTAGATGCCTATCAACAAATGAATGGATAATAAAAATGTGGAACATTTACACAATGGAATACTATTCAGCTGTTAAACAAAATTTTAAAATTTGCAGATAAGTGATTGGAGCTACGGAAAAATCATTCTGAGGTAGCCCAGACCCAAAAGACAAATATTGTATATATTCTCTTATATATTGATGTTAGCTTTTGATAGGCATGCTAGAGTTCATATACTGTAGAGGTTAGCTATAGAGTAAAAGACTAAGAAGGAGGGAGGATCTTCCAGTGAAGGGGTAGTAGAACATATAGTTACGGAGAGACCTGAAGGAGACTGGAGCAGGAGGATTAAATGGAGGTGGGGGGAAGAAGAGGTAAGGGAGGGAGTACAGGGAAGAACAACTGATGCTAAGGATGTAAGGATCCATTTGAGGGATCCTGCGGAAACCATGTGATCATATGGAGGCCTAGGGAGAAACCAAATGCCTTTGTTCTCCTAAAGGAGCACAGCAATAAAATGACTGGTAAGGACATTCTGCTCCACCCACAGATCAGTGTCTTGCTCAGCCATCATCAGAGATACTTCCTTTTGCAGTAGACGGGAACTAACACAGAGACCCACAACTGGACAGAGTGCAGAGAGTGAGAGACTTTGGAGCACTAGAGCTAAACGGGATGTCTTCATCAACCCTGCCCCCGTCAGGGTTCAGGTATCTATGTGGAAGAGGAGACAGAAAGATTTTAGGAGCCAGAGGGGATGGATGACAGCAAGAAGCGAGTGTCTACCAGACACAACAGGACAGACACACGTCTGAACTCACAGATTGCGTTCCAATGTTGAGAGGGGGAAGTGGACACGATCGCCCACCTCTCACCACAAAGCTAATTGACACTCGCTTGCAACGGAAAAAATTATTTCCCTCTAATGCAGTCTCACTCCCCACATGGGCAGGCTCCGTGTCCAGCCGTAAATGACCAACACAAAAAGAACTCAGTGGTATTTTTTGTAGACTTGTTGACTTACATTGCTTTGTTTGGGCGTTTTTTTTCTTACTGGTCTGTGGCTTGTATATTATGGTTTCTGGTTTTGTGGGCTTCTAAAATTTATTTAAAGATTTACTTACTATGTATATAGTGTTCTGCCTGCATGTATGCCTGCAATGCAGGCCATAAGAGGGCACCTGAATACATTACAGATGGCTGTGAGCCACTGTGTGGTTGATGGGAATTGAACTCAGGACCTCTGGAAGAGAAGCTAGTGCTCTTAACTTCTGAGTCATCTCTCCAGTCCCCTGATTTTGTGTTTTTATAATGTCTCTCTGTGTGTTTTCCTTGTGCTCTTTTTTTTTCTTTTTAAATTCTGGTTTCCTTTCTTTCTTTCTTTCTTTCTTTCTTTCTTTCTTTCTTTCTTTCTTTCTTTCTTTCTTTCTTTCTTTCTTTCTTTCTTTCTTTCTTTCTTTCTTTCTTTCAAGATTTGTTTATTTATTATGTATACAGCATGTATGACTGCAGGCCAGAAGAGGGCACCAGATCTCATTACAGGTGGTTGTGAGCCACCATGTGGTTGCTGGGAATTGAACTCAGGACCTCTGGAAGAACAGTCAGTGCTCTTAACCTCTGAGCCATCTCTCTAGCCCCCGCCTGTTTGTTTTCTTAAGAGAGAGAAAGAACACAGGGAGTTGGGTGGATGGAGAATGTGGAGGAGCTGGAGGATAGAAAATGCATCAGAATGTATTATGTGGAAAAAGTATTTCCAATAAATAAAGAACTTAAAAAGAGTATGGACCCATTGTACCTAAAATTATTTCTTTATTATATTATTATTTCCTCTGAGATTAAACTCTCCATCTTAGAGGGAAGCTCCTTAAGACACAGGATGTTAGAAAAGGAGGGGGAAACAGCAGGATATCTGAAGACGTGAAACATGGCATCCTTTAGGGAAACTCATTAAGCTCAGAGAGTAAACAATGAAGGGCTTCAGGAAGTCCCTAAAACTGAGCAGATTCACGAGGCTTCTCCCACTCCACACATATATAAGCAGTAAGGACTGTTGAGACAGTCTGAGACAAGGTGAGATTCCTTGAAGAGGCTCAGACTCACTGAGCTGCCTGGAGGAGACAGTTTTCAGCTTGCTGAGCTGCCTGCAGGCTGTGCAGTGAGCTCTAGATTTCCAGTTTTTGTGAACTGTCACCCATGCTGGGGAGGACTTTGCAATGATACAGCTGCCTTTGAGCCATTTCTGTTCCTGTAACCATTGCTCATATCACCCAACAAATCTCAGGAGCTCGCCCAGTTGGCTTTCAGTGGTACCCTTGCTTTAGTTTGTCATTGGTTCCCTGTCTGGCACAGGTTGATGTTTGTTTATATCTCCGGAAGAAGATATAAACACAAGAGTGTCACATAACAAGGACTGTGTGACTTTATGTGTATCATGTGAGTACAGGAGCCAGAGGAGGCCAGAAGAGGCCATCAGATTCTCTGGAGTTGAAATTATAGGTTGTTGTGAGCTGCCATGTGGATGCTATAAACCAAACCAAGGTCTTCTGCAAGATCATTTAACCACTGGGCCGTGTATCCAGTGCCCATAGAGTTCTTTGCAATTGTAATTCATGAATATATTCTGCAGTTGTAATAATGCGATAGTATCACTGTTGCTAGGAGACCACATCATTCTTCCAAGCATCAGTTGAAAACAATTTTTTAAACCTTTTAATTACCGCCTAACTTAAAAGAGGTTGGGTGAGATGATATATGTTATATATTAACCATATCATGTTTGTTCAGAGAGCCTGGAGTTTAATGTAGGGTCACCCAAGTGGCTTGAGTATTTGAGGTATAATTAAATATTTAAAGTTAAAACTTCAATTAAAAATACTGTTAATGAAGGCCCCCTGGTACTTGGTATTTTGTGAACAGTGAGACAAGTGGCCCAAAAGGTAAACGACGTTTGCTGCTATTTGCAGCCTGACCACAGGTACTTGTCTGCTTTTCAGTAATGCTAATTGTGTGTCAAATTGTATCTACTGCTGTAGGCAACAGGTGAAAAGAAGTTGGCTAATAGGTCTTTAGCACAATGAAACTCTATTAAGCTTAATAAAACAAATCTGCTTATTTTTGCAGTTACGTTGGCATTGAAATCTTCCTATACTGCTCTAATGTGTATTTAGATAGAAATAAAGTGATGATAGTGATGATGATGATGATTATATTGAGACAGGGTTTCTCTGTGTAGCTTTGGAGCCTATCCTGGAACTCACTCTGTAGACCAGGCTGGTCTTGAACTCACAGAGATCCACCTGCCTCTGCCTCCTGAGTGCTGGGATTAAAGGCGTGCGCCACCATTGCCCGGTACATTATTGTTTGTTTTTTTTTTTTTTTTTTTTTTTTTTAAAGCCAATTCTGCCATTGGTTCAAACCCAAGCCTTGGTTTGCATGGACAGTGTGCTCTGATTGGTGCTGTTAGGACCTCTTAGGAGAGAGGGCCTCCTGTGCTCCCTCTCTGGTATTCTAGTCTTAGGCTCAACGAAAGGCTCCCTTGAGTGTGCAGAGCTGGTAATATGAAGAAAGAAACACCAGTGCCCGAACAGTAGCAGTGACGGCGGTGGCACCAGTGGCAGAGACAGCACCAGGCATAGAGCAGCAGTGCCTGCCTCCAGAACACCCTGAATGGCGGTAGCTGTGACAGTGGCCATCACAGGAAGACATAGTTGAACGTCTGGGGGGGGAGGTAGGAACAAGAGAGGAAGCAGAAGTAGAGAGAAGATGGAGGAGGATAGAAGGCCATAAAAAGCCAGAAGAGGAACTTCAGGCCCTGGTCACTGAAGAGTTCCTTAGAGCTGTCAAGTCTTTAGGAAGTCTCTGACACCCCAGATTCTGAAGCTGTAATGGCAGTTACGGTCAAGGGCTAAGCAGCCTGGACTTCCAGGGAATTAAGGATTTAGTTAACCAAGGGCTGCACCAGAGCTCTAACACTAGAGGGCAGCACTTGCTGCCGCTCCTGCAGGTCTGGAGCTACTTATTCATGTTGACCAGCGTTTGAAGAACTTGTCCTTGCCTACCCAGGATTCCTATCCAGGCAAGAGGGTTCTAGCTAGCTGACTGGGAACAAGAAGATGGGCTGCTGGCGGGGGCCACCTGTGGGTGTTTCCTTGTTACTCTTCAGGACATTCATATGTCACTGCTGCTGTGAAGAGACACCATGACCAGGGCAACTCTTAGAAGGAAAGTATTTTATCAGGGGCTTTCCTACAGTTTCAGAAGCTTGGTCCATCATCAACGTGGCAGGGAACACGGCGACAGGCATGCCAGGCATGGTGGAGTAGTTGAGAGCTGCATCCTGATCCACAGGCAGAGAAGGAGAGAGCCTGGTCCTGGTATGGGCTTTTGAAACCTCAAAGTCCACCCCCAGTGACACACTACCTCCAACAAAGTCACACCTCCTAATCCTTCTAATCCTTTCAAAGAGGTCCACTCCTTGGTGACCAAGCATTCAAACATATGAGCCTATGGGGGCCATTCTTGTTCAAACCACAGAGTCTGTTACACGTTTCCTTTGTAGATACCCATCTTAACACAACAGAAATGTAAAAATTCAGCCAGCCTCTTAGTTACTTTTACTACAGCTCTGACAAAATGCTCCAATCAAAGCAACTTACAAGTTAATTTTGCTTTGGCAGCATGTATACTAAAATTGGGATGATACCAAGTAGATTAGCATGGCCTTTTTTGCAAGGAAGACATGCAAATTTCTAAAATGTTCCATACTTTTTTAAAAAAAGTTTATTTGGGCTCAGAGTTCAGGCAGGTTATAGTCCCTGTGGTGGGGAAGTCACAGTGACAGGAACTAGAGGGAGTTGGTAACACTGTATCCACAATCGAGAAGTACATGCCTGCTTAGTGCTCAGCTTGCTTTCTCCACTTTTTACAGTCCAGTATCCCCTGCCCAGGTAGTGGTTCTGCCCACAATATTAGATCTCAATCAAGAATAATGATACCCATGGGATCCTGACCCAGGTGAACACCCAAGGAGCACCTGAGGCCAGGACAGCAGGTGTAACTGTATTGCGGAGCCTTGCCTCTATTCCTCATAGGTGTCTGTTCTGGGCAGGCTCTGAGCTGAACGACCCATTGATCTGGTTAGGATGCTGGGCTGGGGCTGTCCAGTATATAGGAATGACTGGTTATTATGGACAATGACCTTGACCTTGGGGCTACTACCTCTCTAGTGAAGGCTACAATCTGTATCATTGGCAAATAATGCCTATTGGAGAGACCTAAACCTTCCCAGGAGCTTCTGTTGGGAAGTCCTCAGCCATGGTGGGGGGCTGGCCCCCCAGTGACAGTGCTTCCTCAATACCCCCAAAGATTGATGCTATACTGTAGAACTTGCCCTTTTTTTTCAGTGTCAAAAGCGGATGAGACACTAAGCTTATTTTGAAAAGAGGATCGTGGGCTACTAAACCCAGATGATGCGAGGAATTGGTTTGGCCCTTTTCTAAAGATTCTGGAAGTATTTGAACAAGATTCCCTTACAAGCAAGGCATGGGTGGGGTTGATGCAGAAGGGAGGATGGCTTCCTTCCCAGTGCCTCAGTGGGGTTTTCGCTCTTGACAGGCCAATAGGTAGATTTTGCAATTCATTTTTAATTTAGAGTGGCACTGGATGCTCCGAAAGAGAACCACATAACCACCTCCTTTTAAAAGCCCCTCAGATGCCTGCCCTGAGGAGAGTTCTCCCAGAGTCCTGGGGAAGATGCTACAAGTAGCAGGGATAGTAATCTGAGGGATATCAAATTAATCTACCTACGCGAAACTCTTTAGTCCACTCACTTTATTCTTCTAGGACAAAATTCTATCTATGCGGCTTCAGTTCTGTTCTCACACTTAGCTCCTCTCTGTCCCTTCTCCCGCTGTCCTCTCACAGTTCTAAGTTCTTTCCATCTCGTTCTCATCTTTGTCTTTGTTCCTCTCTCCATCCTGTTCCTTCCTTTCCTCTCCCTGTGACCTGTCTCCTTACACCTACAATCAGCAATACTCTGGCCCTGCTGCAGGGGAAGTCTACTGGAACTAGGAAACCTGCATCATAGCTTGAATCACCTGGTATGAAAAAGCCCTTTTTTCTAAGTAAGTTACTTGAGGGGAAATCTAGAGGTGCCACTTAGGCTGTGAGAGAAAGGGGGGTCTGACTTAATTTGCACAAGAAGCAAAGTTATGGCCTAGGTGGTGTCTCCGTGTGGGTATTGACCTTCATTCAGGAGACTAGCGGGGTGGGGGGGTCTGGAAAGCTTATTCTGTTTGTCCTTAGATGCTTTTGTCTGGAGCTGGCCCTAGTTTTGGATGCTTGCTAAAGGAGATAATTGCAGAAGGCAGACATATGATTCTAATGCTAAAAAGAAGAAGCAGAAAGCCTGGAAGCAGGAAGCCTTGCCTGTGTGACTGTATCCAAATACCTTAATCGTATATGCCCAAGGAATGATCAATCCACACTGTTTAGAAGGTCTTAGGAAAAAGAATCAATTAGGGAAGCTATGATAGCTCATATGAAGTTCATAGCGGAAAACAGCTTATACATTAAAGAAGTCAAATAACACCAGTACTCCTTGAGCCTTGGCTTCCTCTGGAAAGTCCTTGACCTTCCAGGTAACAGCTTTTGTCATAGTTATCTGAATTCCTACCACATATTTCTGCATCCTGCAGCAGCCTCCAAAGTGCTGGAAGCTAGAGGTGTTGCTCTGATTTTATCCCTAACAAATGGAGTGACTGTGGCATCCCCTGGAAGTGAGAAGGAAGGCAGCAAGTTGTCCCCACTCCTAGTGCCTAGGGTCTGCTTAGTCTCCAGGTACTTTGCTTTCCCTATCCTAGAGCAGAAGAGCACAAGAAGGTGGGAATCTCTCACCATTCAAGACTTTATTTCATTTATCTAAAATTATTATTTATTATGATGATGATGACGATGATGATGGTGATGATGTGTATGGTATGTGTGTGTGCCATATAACAGCAAAAAGTGTGTCTGAGTTTCTCCCGTGTCAGCCAGATCAGGAGGTAGAGGACTTGGGCCAGAAGCAGAAGTGGGTAGAACCCACCACTGCCAGCCAGGACACACACCACAAAGGTTTTACAACCTTCCCAAACAGCATCACCAGCTGGGGATCAGTTGGTCAGTCACATGAGCCTATGGGGGACGTTTGACATTCTAACCACAGCACTCGGTGGGGATGAAAAGATGATGGAAAGAGGGAAGACAGACCTCGGCCTCAGTCCACTGAGACCTCTGTACTCAGCACTCCAAAGCCTGTCAGTATCAATCCCAGCAAAACCAATGAGCGCTGACCTCCTGGCTGTCTCCATTCCTTGCTCTTCCGGGCCTTTCTCACGAACGGCATCCTGTAGCACGCAGTCTTCTCACGTGGCTCTGTTTGTTGGGTAGGTTGCTGTTGAGGCTGTGCTCTCTCTCTCTCTCGTGAGTGTCAGTGTTCCTTTGCTGTGCCTTGCTCAGTTGAGCTCCAGGGCATTGATATGCTGTTGTGTATCCATTCACCAGGGGGCAGACATTTGGACTATTTCTAGCTTCCGGTTATTATGAAATAATGCTGCTATGAATATTCATACTCTGAGTTGGCATATATTTTATATTCCTACATTTCTGAGTCGCATGGTAAGTGTGCTTAAAATTTGAAGGCAGTGTTTTCCAAAGCAGCTGTGGCACTTTACATTCCTCTGAGCAAAATGTGAGCCCCAGACTGGCCACCTCCAACCCTTGGTGGTGTTTGTCCTTTTGATTACAGCCTTTTTATTCTTATGAGTGGATAATGGCACCTTGTTGTGGTTTAGGTTTTCCTTGCCTAGTGATTTGTGATGTGGGTTCCATTTTCATGGGTGTGTTAGCTGTTTATATGACTTCTTTGGTGTAGCGTCTACTGAACTCTCTCCACTGTGTGGCTGAGTTGTTTTCTTGAAATTGGGTGTGAGAGTCTTTCATGTGCCATGGGGACAAGTCTGATTCTAGAAATAGGATTTGCTTTGGCCCCACCCACTGCCTTTGGCCCAATCTGTCTTTTTATTCTCTTAATGGTACTCTCTGCAGCACCAATGTTTTTAATGTTAACCAGGATCAGTTTACCTTTTTTTTTTGTTGTTTTGTTTTTCAAGACAGGGTTTCTCTGTGTAGCTTTGTGCCTTTCCTGGAACTCACTTGGTAGCCCAGGCTACTTTTTTTTTTTTTTTATGGATCATGCTTTTTGTTTCATATCTAATTACCTTCTGTCTACCCCCAAATCAAAGCTTTCTTCTAGTTTCTGTAAGTGCTGGGCTTTAGTCTGGCCTCTTCACTCTGCGTTCACCCTGTGTAAGGGTTTATTTATTGTTCTTGTGCGGTTATTCGAGGCCTCAGCAACTTTAGTTTTCTTTGTGGGGAAGTTTTTAATTACATGTCTCTTTCTGTTTTTTCCCCCCTTCCATTGAGACAGAGTCTTCTTTTAAAAAGTCATCATTACATTCATTTATCTATTTTGTGAGTGTGTGGGAGAGTGCTTACATGCTTGCATATACGTGCCCCGGGGGAGGTGAGGCCAGAGGTCAACTGCAGGAGTTGGCTCTCTTCTTTCATTCTGTGGATCCAGGCAACTGAACTTAGGATGCCAGGCTCAACAGCAAACACAGCTTATATGTCCTTGTTCTAGAACCAGAATGGCCTTGAACCCACATGCCTCAACTTCTCCAGTGCTGGTAGAATTACAGGTGCGTGTCACCACACACAGTTTAATTACACTGCTTCTTTTACACATATGGGTTGTGTTACTATACCTGAGAAAACATCATCCTGAATCCAGGTGTGATGATATATGCCTGTAATTCTAGCCCTTGGGAGATGGAGAGAGGAGGATCAGGGGTTCAAGGTTACCCTTAGCTGCATAGTAGACTGGAGGTCAGTATGAGACTCTGTCTCAAAAGAGAGAGAGAAAAAAAGATAAGACATTTTGAGTTACGGCTTCACACATGCCTGGCTGGCTCCACTGCTTCGGGCAGAGTGTCACAGCAATGAGTTTGTGGTACAGCGAAGTGTCTTACCTGATGTCCAGGAAGCAGAAAGACAAGCAGGAAGGGTCAGGCATGGCACACCTGGAGCGACTCCATGATCGGCTTCCTCTAATAGATTCCCACATCCTCACAGCCCATCTGCACTGGACTCAGCTGATTCACCCATCAACGGCACAAGTGACCTCGTGATCCACCAGCTTTGGACCAGGCTTTCACTACTTGACTCTTTGGGAAACTTTCCCACACAGTAATACGGAACTGCTCTATTTCCTATTCTGACAGTTTTGAAGAATTACATTTTTCAAAGAATTCCTCCATTCATCATCCGAGTTGAGGCTATATTGGTGGAAAACTTTCATAATATTCTTTTAGTGAGTCTTTTTAAAGGACTCTAGTGCTGACCCTTCCTTATTTCTCTTTTTTATATTATTTATTTTTATTTTATGTGCATTGGTGTTTTGTCGGCCTGTATGTCTGTGTGATGGTGTTGGATCCCTTGGAACTAGAGTTATAGACAGTTTTTTTGGGCTGCCATGTGGGTGCCGGGAATTGAATCAGGGTCCTTTGGAAGAGCAGCCAGTACTCTTAACTGTTGAGCCATCTCTCCAGCCCCCTCCTCCTTATTTCTGATATGAAAATCTCCTTCTTGTTCTATAATGCTAGAACTTTTATATTCTTATTTTTTATTTATTTTTTTTAGATCTCTGTCTCTTTGCCTCTGTATCTGTTT